TGCACCGGCCCTGGGTGGAGGGGGCTGTGTGAGCTGTGGCCGCACAGTGCCCCATGGTAGTTAGGGTGCCGTGCGGCCAGTACAGCTCACACAAGCAAACCGCTGATAAACTGGCCTCACGGAGGAAAAGTGGGGCGGAGCCAAACTGGCACTGGGGGCGGGGCTTAATATGGCCCTTACCCACTGCTGTTAGGAGGTGCAGCAAGATGGAATCTCTGCTTCTCCACAGGTTTCAGAGAAGGACTTCAGGGAATCCAGTCCTCCTCCATCCCACTGTCTGTAAGTAAGAGTGTGTGTGTGTGTGTGTGTGTGTGTGAGACTGTCTGTGTGTAACTGTCTGCCTGTAACTGTGTGTGACTATCTGCCTGTAACTGAGTGTGTGACAGTCTGCCTGTAACTGAGTGTGTGACTGTCTGCCTGTAAATGTGTGTGTGGGGCTGCAGGGATTTTGTAGAAGGGGGCAGGGTTTTTGTATTGGGACAGGAGTCTTTATAAGTGGGATAAGCAGGGGATTTGTGGAAGGGGGTTGCGGGTGTTTTGTAGATGGGGCAGTACAGGATTCGTAGAAGGGGCAGGACAGAGGTTTTGTAGGAGGGGCTGGGCAGGGTAGGACAAGGGTTTTGTAGGAGGAGCTGACAGGGGTTTTTTTGGGGGGGGGGGGGCTGGTGCCAAGCACAGGATCCGCCCCGGGTGCCAAATGCTCTAGGTACACCCCTGTATATATGTAATAGACAAGATCCAGCGGACTAAACAGCAACTTCAAAGCCCACAGATTTGATTAATTTTTTGGGGGGGTTTAGTTACATTATATGATCATACATTGCATAAGCCTGTCACAACGTCGATGTACTCCATCTTTGGCAGGTCTTACTCTATCAATCTAATGTCTGCTCTTATGAGCTTAGCCCACTTACTTGGGGAAAAAATCCATCTGGGGGTCTCTGCAGGTCAATGCTAAATAGGGCCCTGGAATGAGTGCACTGGATCTTGTGTATTGTATAAGTTGGCCCCAGCAGCACCCCATTTATGAACCCAGGTTGTATACACATAGGCGTGCGCAGCCTATTGCATTAGGGTGCGCACCTAGAGCACAAGCACACGCCATATATATAAATATATATATATATATATACATATACACATATACATACATACATACACTGCTGTGTGTGTGTGTGTGTGTGTGTGTGTGCTGTGTGAGGGTGCTGGTAGTGTGCTATGTGGGTGTTGGTGTGTGGGTGCGCTTGTGAGGGTGCTGTTAATGTACTGTGTGTGAGGGTGCTGTTTGTGTGTGAGGGTACTGATAGTGTGCTGTGTGTTTGTTAGGGTCCTGTTAGTGTGCTGTGTGAGGGTGCTGTTTGTGTTTGTGCGGGTACTGTTAGTGTGCTGTGTGTGTGTGTGAGGGTGCTGTATGTGTGTGGGTGCTGTATGTGTGTGGGTGCCGTATGTGTGTGTGTGGGTGCTGTATGTGTGTGTGTGGGGGGGGTATGTGTGAGAATGTTGTGTGTGTGTGGGTGATGTTTGTTTGCTGCATGTGTGTGGGTGCTGTGTGTGTGTGCTGTGTGTGTGTGGGTGATGTGTGTTCTGTTTGTGTGGTGTATGTGTGAGGATGTTGTGTGTGTGTGGGTGATGTTTGTTTGCTGTATATGTGTGGGTCCTGTATGTATGTGTGTGTGCTGTATGTATGTGTGTGGGTGCTGTGTGTGTACTGTTTGTGTGCTGTATGTGTGTGTGTGTTGTATGTGTGTGCTGTATGTGTGTGTGTGTGTGTGCTGTATGTGTGTGTGTGTGTGCGCTGTATGTGTGTGTGTGTGTGTGCTGTATGTGTATGTGTGTGCTGTTTGGGTGATTTTTGGGGGTGGAGGTGGGGGCAGATTAGTTAATAAAGATCCCCCTTTCCCTTTTTACCTTATGTAGGGAGGGGGGACCGTGCTGCTGCCTTCCCTGGTGGTCCAGTGGAGGTGGGGGCAGATTGCTTAATATCCCCCCTCCCTTGTTACCTTATGCCAGGGAGGGGGGATCCTTTCTGCCTTCCCTGGTGGTCCTAGTGGTGAGAGTGAAATCTAGCCTGCGGGGCTAGAGTTCACTCTCGCGAAATCTTAGTGTTGCCGCGGTAACCGCGGCAACGCTCAGATCTCGCAAGAGGAACCCGGCGGAGCTGCTGGCAAGTATGTGTGTGTCTGTGAGTGTGTGTGTGTCTGTGAGTGTATGTGTGTGTGAGTGTGAGTGTGTGTGTGTCTGTGAATGTATGTGTGTGTGTCTGAGTGTGTGTGTATCTGAGTGTGTGTGTGTCTGTGAGTGTCTGTAAGTGTGTGTGTGTGTGTGTGTGTGTCTGTGAGTGTATGTGTGTGTGTCTGTAAGTGTGTGTGTGTGTGTATCTGTAAGTGTGTGGGTGTCTGTGAGTGTATGTGTGTGTGTGTCTGAGTGTGTGTCTGTGAGTGTGTGGTTCTGTAACTGTGTGTCAGTGTGTGCGCACACGTATATATATATATATATATATATATATACACACACACACGCGCGCGTGTATATTATTTTTTGGGGGGAGGGGTGGGAATCTTGCCGCGGACTCATCATTGAGTAAACTTTGACCCTGTACCTCACAGTCAACAGACACATTCCAGCCAATCAGCAGCAGACCCTCCCTCCCAGACCCTCCCACCTCCTGGACAGCATCCATTGTGAAGCTGCATTCTTAGTGAGCTGTCCAGGAGGTGGGAGGGTCTCGGAGGGAGGGTCTGCTGCTGATTGGCTGGCATGTACAGGGTCAAAGTTTACTCAATGATGAGTCCGCGGCGAACCGTTCGTGGCGAACCGTGGCGAACCGTTCGTGAACCGTTCGGCAAACAGTTCGGGACATCACTAATGAGCTGTAATAATACACTGAGCTGTAATGATACAAACACACACAGAAACTGCTGAATGCACACACACACACACAGAATGCTGAATATATTCCACTACAGGATGTAAAAAATTCCATTAATTTCCCGATATCTGACAGGAATAAAATTCCACTATTTTTACTTGTTGCTCCATAATGAATCCCCCAAGACTCGGTAATAATATGTAACTGCAACAAAATAATTTAACTACTAACAAATACGTTGCAAATCCTACTCTGAATGTTGTCACTCTCTCTCTCTCTCTCTCTCTCTAAATATATATATATATATATATATAATTATTATTTATAAAGCGCCAACAAATTCCCTTGTGCTGTACAATGGGTGGGCTACCAAACATGAATTTGTAGCGAGACAAGTTGGACGCCCAGGAACAGAGGGATTGAGGCCCTGCTCAGTGAGTTTACATGTTAGAGAGAGTGGGGTATAGTGACACAGTAACAGAGGGATTGAGGGCCTGCTCAGTGAGCTTACATGTTAGAGGGAGTGGGGTATAGTGACAGTAACAGAGGGATTGAGGCCCTGCTCAGTGAGCTTACATGTTAGAGGGAGTGGGGTATAGTGACACAGTAACAGAGGGATTGAGGGCCCTGCTCAGTGAGTTTACATGTTAGAGGGAGTGGGGTATAGTGACAGTAACAGAGGGATTGAGGGCCCTGCTCAGTGAGTTTACATGTTAGAGGGAGTGGGGTATAGTGACAGTAACAGAGGGATTGAGGGCCATGCTCAGTGAGTTTACATGTTAGAGGGAGTGGGGTATAGTGACACAGTAACAGAGGGATTGAGGGCCCTGCTCAAGTGAGTTTACATGTAGAGGGAGTGGGTATAGTGACACACTAACAGATGGATTGAGGGCCCTGCTCAGTGAGTTTACATGTTAGAGGGAGTGGGGTATAGTGACACAGTAACAGAGGGATTGAGGGTCCTGCTCAGTGAGTTTACATGCTAGAGGGAGTGGGGTATAGCGACACAGTAACAGAGGGATTGAGGGCCTGCTCAGTGAGTTTACATGTTAGAGGGAGTGGGGTATAGTGACAGCAACAGAGGGATTGATGGCCTGCTCAGTGAGTTTACATGCTAGAGGGAGTGGGGTATAGTGACAGTAACAGAGGGATTGAGGGCCTGCTCAGTGAGTTTACATGTTAGAGGGAGTGGGGTATAGTGACACAGTAACAGAGGGATTGAGGGCCTGCTCAGTGAGTTTACATGTTAGAGGGAGTGGGGTACAGTGACACAGTAACAGAGGGATTGAGGGCCTGCTCAGTGAGTTTACATGTTAGAGGGAGTGGGGTATAGTGACACAGTAACAGAGGGATTGAGGGCCTGCCCAGTGAGTTTACATGTTAGAGGGAGTGGGGTATAGTGACACAGTAACAGAGGGATTGAGGGCCTGCTCAGTGAGTTTACATGTTAGAGGGAGTGGGGTATAGTGACACAGTAACAGAGGGATTGAGGGCCTTGCTCAGTGAGTTTACATGTTAGAGGGAGGGGGGTATAGTGACACAGTAACAGAGGGATTGAGGGCCCTGCTCAGTGAGTTTACATGTTAGAGGGAGTGGGGTATAGTGACACAGTAACAGAGGGATTGAGAGCCTGCTCAGTGAGTTTACATGTTAGAGGGAGTGGGATATAGTGACAGTAACAGAGGGATTGAGGCCCTGCTCAGTGAGCTTACATGTTGAGGGAGTGGGGTATGGTGACACAGTAACAGAGGGATTAAGGACCCTGCTCAGTGAGTTTACATGTTAGAGGGAGTGGGGTATAGTGACACAGTAACAGAGGGATTGAGGGCCTGCTCAGTGAGCTTACATGTTAGAAGGAGTGGGGTATAGCGACACAGTAACAGAGGGATTGAGGGCCCTGCTCAGTGAGCTTACATGTTAGAGGCAGTGGGGTATAGTGACACGGTAACAGAGGGATTGAGGCCCTGCTCAGTGAGCTTACATGTTAGAGGGAGTGGGGTATAGTGACACAGTAACAGAGGGATTGAGGGCCCTGCTCAGTGAGTTTACATGTTAGAGGGAGTGGGGTATAGTGACACAGTAACAGAGGGATTGAGGGCTCTGCTCAGTGAGCTTACATGTTAGAGGGAGTGGGGTATAGTGACACAGTAACAGAGGGATTGAGGGCCTGCTCAGTGAGTTTACATGTTAGAGAGAGTGGGGTATAGTGACACAGTAACAGAGGGATTGAGGGCCTGCTCAGTGAGTTTACATGTTAGAGGGAGGGGGGTATAGTGACACAGTAACAGAGGGATTGAGGGCCTGCTCAGTGAGTTTACATGTTAGAGGGAGTGGGGTATAGTGACACAGTAACAGAGGGATTGAGGGCCTGCTCAGTAAGCTTACATGCTAGAGGGAGTGGGGTATAGTGACACAGTAACAGAGGGATTGAGGGCCTGCTCAGTGAGTTTACATGTTAGAAGGAGTGGGGTGTAGTGACACAGTAACAGAGGGATTGAGGGCCCTGCTCAGTGAGTTTACATGTTAGAGGGAGTGGGGTATAGTGACACAGTAACAGAGGGATTGAGGGCCCTTCTCAGTGAGTTTACATGTTAGAGGGAGTGGGGTATAGTGACACAGTAACAGAGGGATTGAGGGTCTGCTCAGTGAGTTTACATGTTAGAGGGAGTGGGGTATAGTGACACAGTAACAGAGGGATTGAGGGCCTGCTCAGTGAGTTTACATGTTAGAGGGAGTGGGGTATAGTGACACAGTAACAGGGATTGAGGGCCCTGCTCAGTGAGGTTACATGTTAGAGGGAGTGGGGTATAGTGACACAGTAACAGAGGGATTGAGGGCCTGCTCAGTGAGTTTACATGTTAGAGGGAGTGGGGTATAGTGACACAGTAACAGAGGGATTGAGGGCCTGCTCAGTGAGCTTACATGTTAGAAGGAGTGGGGTATAGCGACACAGTAACAGAGGGATTGAGGGCCCTGCTCAGTGAGCTTACATGTTAGAGGCAGTGGGGTATAGTGACACGGTAACAGAGGGATTGAGGGCCTGCTCAGTGAGCTTACATGTTAGAGGGAGTGGGGTATAGTGACACAGTAACAGAGGGATTGAAGGGCCCTGCTCAGTGAGTTTACATGTTAGAGGGAGTGGGGTATAGTGACACAGTAACAGAGGGATTGAGGGCCTGCTCAGTGAGCTTACATGTTAGAAGGAGTGGGGTATAGTGACACAGTAACAGAGGGATTGAGGGCCCTGCTCAGTGAGTTTACATGTTAGAGGGAGTGGGGTATAGTGACACAGTAACAGAGGGATTGAGGGCCCTGCTCAGTGAGCTTACATGTTAGAGGAAGTGGGGTATAGTGACACAGTAACAGAGAGGATTGAGGGCCTGCTCAGTGAGCTTACATATTGAGGAGTGGGGTATAGTGACACAGTAACAGAGGGATTGAGGGCCCTGCTCAGTGAGCTTACATGTTAGAGGCAGTGGGGTATAGTGACACGGTAACAGAGGGATTGAGGCCCTGCTCAGTGAGCTTACATGTTAGAGAGAGTGGGGTATAGTGACACAGTAACAGAGGGATTGAAGGCCCCCTGCTCAGTGAGCTTACATGTTAGAGGGAGTGGGGTATAGTGACACAGGAACAGAGGGATTGAGGGCCCTGCTCAATGAGCTTACATGCTAGCGGGAGTGGGGTATAGTGACACAAAAGGTAACGGTAGGGTAGAAAAGAAGGTTGGTAGGATAGTGTTCACTGAGAACTTTGTGTTTTGTTTTGATGACAGTTGCAGGAGAGGAATCAGGGTGTGGGGAGGGAAGCTATTTACAGTTAATATGATACGCTTTCCTAAAGAAGTGAGGTATCAAAGATTTTTTGAAGAAGTGTAGATTGGGTGAAAGTCTAACAGAGAGGAGAAGGGCATTCAATAGGAACGGCGCAGCCCTAGAGATGTCTTTAAGGTGAGCATCAGAGGTAGAAGTACGAACATAAGTTAGACGTAGGTCTTCAGCAGAGCGTAGGGGCCTAGACGAGACATATTTGTGTATTAGTGAGGATAAATAGGTCGGAGCAGCATTGTGTACATATTTGTAAGCAAGTACCAGGTCGGAGCAGCATTGTGTACATATTTGTAAGCAAGAACCTTATATCTTACAGGAAGTCAATGTAGGGACTGACAGAGGGGGAGGCGTGGGAGGTGCCCGCGGACAGGAAGATGAGCCTCGCCACCACATTCACTATAGACTTTAATGGCTCAAGTTATATCTATCTCTAAAAAGGTTTCCTCCGTGAAATCTGCCCCCCTTTATTGGTATATACCCCAACGTTTTGTTTTTGTTTGAATAACTCTCACCTCATCTGTGAATCTTCCCATTCCCTACCTTTATTGCAGGCCTATTTGACCCTCGTATCTATCTCTCCCACAATCTGATTTTAAACCTTACCTTCCTCACATCAGAACAGCACTCAATCCAACTTCACCTGATCCAGTAGCAATAAGCAAGGTAACCTTCTGGAGAACATTTTAACATTTAATGCTGCATATTTGAAATCCAAAGGAGATAATAAAATTAACAAGAGAAGTGGTGTAAATAAAAAAGGGGGCAAAAGGAGACCATTAACTGAGCCTTACGGGCCTCCAGCTAAGACAGGTAGAGGGAAGGATATGGTGCCAGAGAAGGAGACAATGAATAAACATTCGGAGAGGTAGAATGAGAATCTGAAAAGTAAAAAGTAAAGAGTCATTATCAAAAATATGGAAGGTTTGACAAAGGAGTCAGTGATCACCAGCAGAAAGGTCGATATGAATTAAAAGATAATAATGATCTTTAGATTTAGAGGAATATAAGTGGTAAGTCTCCTTAGTAAGGGCTGTTTTAGTAGAAGGAAGGGAAACCAGATTGAAGGGAGAGAGTAATCAACTCGTCCGTAATCACTTCCTGAATTCTAGATGTAGATCTCCTGATGACTACATGGTGACTATGTGATCCTAACCTTGTATGTTATCCAATAAACTATTAGGTATAGATGTTCCACATTGTAGCAAATTATTTCAATGAAAATCAAGTATTTTTTGTAAATATTAACAGGTTTTAAGTTGTCTTAATATTTAGTCCCATTCTGTCACACATGAATTCTGGTTCTTGCTTTCAAATCTCTATATAATGCTGCTCCCACCTATCTATCTTCCCTAATACACAAGTATGTCCCGTCTAGGCCCTTACACTCTGCTGAAGACTTGTGTCTATCTTCTGTCTGTACTCCCACCTCTGATACTCGCGTTGAAGACTTCACGAGGGCTGCACCATTCCTGTGGAACTCACTTCCCTCCTCCGTTAGATGCTCACCCAGTCTCCACTCCTTCAAAAAAATCATTAAAAACCAACTTCTTCATAAAAGCATATCAATTAAACTGTTAATAGCTTCCGACTGATTCCTCTCTTGCAACTGTCATTAGTCTAATACTATCCTTACCGTTTGTGTCACTTTACCCCACTCCCTCTAGCATGTAAGCTCATTAAGCAGGCCCTCAATCCCTCTGTTACTGTGTCACTATACCCCACTCCCTCTAACATGTAAGCTCACTGAGCAGGGCCCTCAATCCCTCTGTTACTGTGTCACTATTCCCCACTCCCTCTAACATGTAAACTCACTGAGCAGGGCCCTCAATCAGT